TTAACAGCGCTCTACAGGGACTTTCTCTGATCGCCTAAAGAATTTGGATGCTCTGCTATAATTTGTTGTCGGCGAGATTATTAGCCAGAATCAATAAGAGTCGCAACCAGTCTGTTCTCTCTTCATAGAATTTTCAACTCAATTTCCATAGTAGTCCAAACGCATCAAAAGTGATTGAGAACAACGGGACGTGGGAGATTAGTATGTTAAGAGCAAATCTACATGCGTGAGCCAGCTTGGTTTGAATCTGATGGTGATAAGTCTACTTCCTGCAGCTCATCCAGTAATTGCACGCAAAAAGATTGTGATGAACCTTGCAATGACGAAATTCTCTTTACATTGGAATGGAGATCTTTATTGACACGATAAAGCATGCATACAAATATCTATGTGTATATATACATAACTATTGTTTAGTGATATATTAATCATATGCAAATCACGGGTTTAGGCTGAAACTAGAGAGTTTTTTCTTCGTCATCAGAGTTTTGTCATAAGTCAACGTCCGTACCAAAATCTTCACAAGAGCATTTTGAAAAGAGATTAGAGTTCTGAAATAGAGACATATCTGCTATCCATTAGAGTTCTTGTCATACTTGTTGAATGTACTTCATCATTGTTTAGACCTACACTGTTTATCATGGAGATACAGAATGTCGGAGCACTATTCTGTCGTTTAAATTTTCATTCAGACAATTGAAGGTTTTGAGGAGAACAATATCACCTCTTTTTGTTAGAGGCAAATTCCTCACAACCTTCTACACAAAGCTTTTTTTAGTTCTGATAGCAATAGAGGACTAACAAATAGCTTTCAATCTTGCATCATATGATACGAAATTGTAACATATCGTGATAGAGCTACAGAACTCTGTCCTCGATGACTACTTACTGGAAAACGGTGCAATTGAGTTGTGAAGCCTAATCTTTATAACCTCTTAGATATTTAGCACTTATGCATCAGAATGGAATGTTAGGGCAGAGTTCTATTTCTCTTCATGGCATCAGGCGTACAATCAATGCCAAGATTAGCTTAGCTGAAAATAGGGATTTCAAATATGTCAAATAATTTACAGGTCTATTGCATTTGAAGTGTAGAAACCTCTAAACTTCTCTTTCTTTACTAGAATCATGTTGTTAGATACATCACAGTTGAAATTTTATTAACTAGAATATCAATTCTTACATTTGGATATAAGAAAAGGGCAGTTGAAAAGGTGATATTTGAGTGAATGGAAAAATGTCTTGAAATTGCCATTGCACTAAATGTACCGTTAGAAAGTCTCCCTGATATAGTTTCCTTATAAAAGGGGAAGTTTCCTTGCAAGCCGATCGGCACTTACTGTGTAGAAGTTGAAGCTGCTGAACGTCTTGAAAGTGATCTCGCATAGTATCTGTCAATCGAGACGGCATAAACCCTGTAAACCCTCTGACCTGAACAGCATGCACCCTGAACTCTTTCATAAACATCTAAATCGATATCCTCACATCACTAAAGGCCGCATAATTTAGACATATAAGAGCAGGAGACTTGCATGCGTCGCAGCAGCTCAGGAGTTATCTCGAGATTTCTTGCACAAAACGAAGCGATTGTCCTAGTAGATTAAAGTTGGCAACGTTCAGATCAGATGAATCCATGCATGCGAATGCACTTATGTCTCCTAAAATAGCTGATACTATTATTCTGCTCATAGGCTGAGTTGTTGGTTTGGACGTTTGCTGTGTCTAGCTCGTCTATTTAATTCACTAAAATATACAGACCAAAAGAGGGGTCTAATCTCTTCAATTCCTATCGATCTCGAATAGTCGGTATTGTGTAGCGTATTTCTCGAATATCAACCCTCAACTGCTGGTAAGCAAATGCAAATCATGAGATCCAATGAAAATCTTTCACGTGTACGCCCACCCTTCTATTACGCGCAGAATGCAAAGCCAGTTATAGTAATTTAGCTTCTAAGTTCTGTATCTGTGAAAGGCTCGTTTCACATTCCACCGACGGGATATGTTGTATGATCTCCGCTTCCTGGCCATATCTCGGTCCATAAGAAGGCAACGGAAAGCTACAAATTCAGCAGATGTACTTTACCTAGAGCTTATCATATCTCGTCAAACTATATGCCCGAGCGAGCTACTAGGTTTTATCGTTTGGGACGTAACGATGTTAATTATCAGCCTCCAGTGGCAACCAAGGGGAGGCGAAGCGTAGTGGGTTGCTCCATACCAAACCAACTACGCTTCAACAGGACAGAGTAACCAGATTCGAGAATGGCCAATTCTTTTACAGTTTGCAATGTATCATCGCACCCGATCCGTAAAATCCGTCCTAAGACATTATCTTCCTGTTCGTGCATCGGTTGCTGAAGATTTATCATATGTGGTATCGATATGTTCATTCTTTAAATGTTTCGAATGTGCAGAAATTACTCGATTTTGAAGGCTAATCTTTACTGACGATAGTGTAATGACTCCATGTTTGAACAACAATCCACAGTCTTCTGCTTTCGAGTGGAACACCATCGATTCGTGACGCTGATATTACCCACGTTGAGCTGACCGCTCGCCACATCCAACAGTATTGAGAACGGACAGGCTATAAGCATGATCGCTGTTCCTCTTCAGATTGTTCACGACTGAAAGTGAAGATCTGAAAGTTTTCCTAACGTACAGCGTGATTACCACGGTGCACGATCAAGTGAAAAGTTTCACATGTCGAGACTAATGAATTGTAGCACCAAATATGATCTGAATTCCCAGCATAGTATTTCACTAGATTCGCGGCTTCATCTTCGACCTTTTTCAATACGAAGCATAGACCACCACGACAACCAGATTGAGTAAGGAGATTCGTTAGATCTGAAAGTCTCTATACAGCTCGCGGTAGGGCATACTATTCCATCGTTACTGATGATTACTTCATAGAGGCGAGGATTACTTCATCGCCTCTATGAAAAGATAAGCGGCGATTCAAGTTATTACCAGTAATCTTAGAAACCAGCCTCTTTCGTAGTGAAATCTCCTAGCTAACATACTTGAGAAAACCTACAGTAATTGCACAAATAGCCGCGCTGTATGATAACGTCATATAAAGAGTTGGGAAGGGGTATGTACCTAGCGTTGATGATTGTGAATACAAAACACGTGCATTTGTAATATATCTATTATTTGGTTCTTTTTCTATTGATCAATTGACGTCAAAACAGAAACAACAGAAGTCCTCTTGGGGCTGTTATAGGCTTGTTTTTTTCCTCGTACATTGGATTTACATGACGTTTTTGTTCACCTTGCATTGTAACGGTTTGATCTCTTGATACAGTCCGGCATTTTGCTATGTGATAGTAATGTTAATTTTCGGATCTAGCCTTGGTATACTCGAGTCACTTCGACGAGACGTTCCAACCATATGTAAAGCAGTTTTTACATATCAAAGTTCGTAAGGACTGAAGTGTTTGAAGACGGAACTAAAGTCTAGCGATTACTTTGGATTGTTTATCCATCTGGCTCAACGGAAAGAATTACTGAAGTGTTTGAAGACGGAACTAAAGCCTAGCAATAACTTTGGATTGTTTATCCATCTGGGAAATTTAAAGTTAAGATTGAATTTAGCTTTGAGTCTACATTTGGCAGCTAAAATTGATATGTGATGTTATATAATTTTCTAGTAAGATATATATATTTTTTATAAAACTAATAAATCATATAGTTTTTGATTTTTTTAAGAAATTTAAAAAAAATTCCTAGATATCATTAAATTTATAAAAATAAATTATATAATAAAAATATATGATTTAAATACGATATGATGTTATTCAACATCACTATATATCATACTATCATAAAATTTTCATTTTATCATCATCTATTAAAATAAATAGAAATAATTGTAAAGATGTCATGGATATCTTATAAAACTAATGTAATAAATAAAATATTTATGAAACTTGAGCAGACTGTCTTGACATTTTCGAATACTTCCAAAAAATTGATTACGTAAGAAGATCATACATCTGGATCATCTCAACCGTGACTACAAAAAGCCAAGATATTCAACGCTATTTCAAATCCAACTAGAACAAATATAAATGAATAAAGAAACATAGTCAACCTTGCTACATTACCATCTTTTCACACACAATACTCGCTGTGTGAATTGAATATCATCGTTTCGATCGAATATCTTGAAGAAAGAAGGCTAAAATGTGAACCCTCCATGAAAACTGGAAACTTATAACTGGGAGTTTATGGTGGAAGCTATAATTTTAGCAACTGAAGCTGCAAGGTCCGTTTATTGAGACTTCACACCTTTAAGCAACAGAAGCAATTTACATCCGGGAATTTCGTAGCTTGTAACTTTGAGATTCAGAAGGTTTTCACTTCAAGCAATAGCTAATCCCAGAGTTTGTCAGATATTGTGAGGAAATTTTTTTCTACAAAGCACTCAAGAGAGAATCATCACCTGTTATCATCGGCTTCTGAGACAATGTCCTTCTTAGACGTATTTCGTATTTTACAACCCGATGGACCAGAAACACCAACGTGCGTTATTGCAAATTCAACTGCATTTGAAAGTTAAAATCTGATGTCAAGTTCCTTCGATATTTTCTTCTTATGAAGCGTTTGTGTCGACATGCAGTGAGATTGCAATCTACAGATCAGAGTTTGAAGTTACATCCGACTGTCAAGTGCCTGTCGGATAAACAGTGAATCTATACAGACTTCCAAATGGCGAGAAAAACGTATACGAATCCCAAGGCATTGTATGTGAAGCTAGTCAACATGAAACATTTTTCTCACCTTCCGACTGACAGTGTCCTACATACGCACGAATCGCACAGTAAAAGTAATCCAGCAGCCGAGGGTGCGGCGAAGCTATGGGAAAGTAGACGGAGCTAGTTGATCCCACAGCTTCGCCGGAGCTACTTGCAGCACAGTAAGACTCTTAAGTGGCACTCAAGTCTTCAAATTTTGTATAAATAGCCACCACACTCTACTTGAAACCATCTCACTCTGAGTTCACATCGAGTCTGCCCCGTTAAGATCGAAATTGAGGAGCATCACGAGATCGGGTTTTTCAATCTTGGAAGACAGTTTAAGAGTAAGAAGTCTTATTTGTTGCATTGTACTTAGGCCTCTAAGTGGACTTCTAGAGCTGTCTCTGCACAAAATGTGTCTTCCGAATTCATGCAGTGCATCAGTACTTATCAACGAGAATCACAAGTCAAAATGCATCGTAGAAAGACAGTCTCTTATATGCGTCACAAATTTTTATGAAGGTAACATTCTTCACGTCTAAAGGTTCGTTAACATCGTGTACAGGAGGCTGCAGAGATACAACTCATATACCAAAATGGGTTCACGTTTTGTTTCTACGATGGCCAGTCTTCTCTTCATGGCTATGGTTCTAGAATCTGCAATTGCTCAGCTGAGTACGAACCATTACGCAGCATCCTGTCCTGGAGGGAAAGCCAAAGTTGCTGAGGTTGTAAATACATGGATCGAGAACGATAGAACCCTGGCACCGTCTCTCCTCCGCATGCACTTCCACGACTGCTTCGTTCGGGTGAGTATATCCTATGCCTGACTGATCTCTGATTTCTTTGAGACCTGGCCGGCATGCGCAACTGGCAGACATCTAAAGAAGATCATGCAAATCTAACAATTCATAACTTTTCTACCACTGACGTCAAATAGTTTTACAACTGCACCACTGAATTTGTTTCGGTGCTATTTGAAGTGTTCATCGATTCGATTCCTTTGTGTGTTTTCTTTCTCACTTGGAGCTTTTGCTAGCTTACACATCGTCAATAACACGTTTATAGTGAACCAAGCCAGGAATGTCATCAAGTGTTGTATGTTGTAAGTTCTGCTGGACCAGGTCCGTCAGAGATTCTGATTCTCCTTAGTCCACTGCAGGGATGTGAAGCTTCCGTTCTATTGGACGTTCCGAATGGTGAGAAGTTCGCTTTTGGCAATAGAAACTCCCTCCGAGGATTCGAAGTAATCGATGATATCAAGGCCGAGTTGGAAGTTCTGTGCCCAGGTGTCTTCTCCTGCGCAGATATTATCGCCCTGGCGGCGCGGGATGCCATGGTTGCGGTAAGACATTTTATTATGTCTTGGTTACAGACTTTGTAGCTGTGTCAATTCAAGTTGACTTTATTATAAATCTCTGAGGTTTTGGACTTTTTGATACTCTCTTATAGGCATCCAGTTCAACAGAGTTTTCTAACCTGCCCTTGAATGCAGTTTGGAGTTCCAGGACTTAACTGGAACGTTCCCCTGGGCAGAAGAGATGGCAATGTGTCATCCGCGGCTGAAGCCAACAGCAATTTGCCACCGCCTTCCGCCAACTTCGACAGCCTTAAGACTCTTTTTGCAGGCAAGGGTTTCAATGTGCGAGAAATGGTGGTGCTTTCAGGTTCGTGTTATTTTCCTTATTTCACACTAATGTTGATGCTCTCTTACCGATCAGGAGCAAAGTATATGCTGGTTTATAAACTCTAGAGCAGACTTATCATCGACAGCCAGTCGATCACAAGGTAACGATTGGATTTCGCATAACGTGCAGGGTCCCATACCATTGGTGTAGCACACTGCAGGACCATCCAGAGCCGCCTGTACAACTTTTCCTCTACTGAAGCCACTGATCCTGCACTCCGCAAATCATTCGCCAGGTCTCTGAAGAGACAGTGTCCGTTCGGTGACACAACGACAGTGATCAAGATGGACCAGAGCACAACAATCGATAAATGGAACAGAGAATATTTCGAGAATGTTCTTGACGGGAAGAGCCTCTTTATATCAGATAACGCGTTGCGTACAACTTTTCAAGGCAGACATATCGTGGATGAAATGGAAGAGCATGACTCGCCATTCACTTCAGAATTTGCAGCAGCGATGTCCAAGATGAGCCAAATTGGAGTGCTGACTGGTTCCCAAGGACAGATAAGAACAAATTGCCGCCTCGTGAATTAGGTTCTCCAGAAATTCGGAAGAAATTATTAGACTGGACTGGCTCTTGACAGTGGAACCCTGATGAAACATTAATAATGTAGCTGATCAACATTGGTCCTGGAAGCTTGACACTTTTGGATGAATGAATAGATCTTGCCTCGAATCTGATCCAGAGATACAGTGGGTACTTAAAAAACCTCAGGTAGGCTACATAGCTCAAATTACCGAAGTTTGGACGTTGAGATGAAAACAGTTTGACTTCTCTCCTCGTCCATGTTCTCGCGCTTTAACCGTCCCCTCACGTTCACAATAATAGCAATTCCATTGACTCGAAAGGGTCTGTAGCAGATTCTAGGCCTTCAAGGGATTCCGATTATCGGAATGTTTTTTCTGGATAGAAGCACTTCAATAAAGACTGCAACTTGTTCAGTGTCTGATATTAATGGCCCAGGGGAACTTTTGCACAGGCACTGATAAACTCTTAGCTCATATTGGGAATGAGAAAATGAAAATTTTCAATCTGAAGCAGTGAATTGCCGGGTTTCTCTATGCCTTTGGTTTAATCTGGGAATCTTGAATGTTTGATGAGGAATCATTTGGCACTTTCTCATGTATACGTAAATTTTTGGGTCAAGATTAGCCAGTCTTGGCTAATGAGAGTGGGACATAGTCATCTAGCATTGTAGATACAGTTATATAAGAATGAACCTTATGATACTACTGCTGGCGGATCAGATACGGTCTTAGTACCTTCGCAGTCGACCTTGGTGGTCTTCGGATAAAAGTCATTGAGTCCACCTGTGATGCAGACGGAGGTGGATGACTCCGTCTATTGCTAGTTATGATTCTCAAGACTAGCCGCACTGTCAAGAACCTTCAGATGAGTGGGTGGAGATTAAATGGCCTTGGCATACTTCAGATGCGGTATCTTCGAGAAATTGAAACAACTCATGCATTGTGACAAAACACACAACTCACGAACGTTCGCAGAAATGCAGACTTAATATTGAACATTGACTCATGAAAAAGCTCCCGAAGACAGAGCCTTGGCTCTCATTATTCACAACGAACTCCGGGAGGCATCACCTGCTAGTTGCAAGCTCCCATGTGGTGCGACATCGGCAAATGCGGTAGTTGCCACACCTGTAGAGCTCTTTTCTACTTCTATCCTACTCAAAACTGCATCAAGCTCTAACTCTAAATTCTCCTTAGTCTCTTCTAAACTAGAAATGAAAGAATTGACCATTCTACCTAACTACCGATGTCCTGTGACGTCGCTGGCTCTTAATTCCTTCAATCTACGCTCCAGCAAATCCAATTTCGTCCACTTTGTAGTTTGAATCTCCCAATTCACATAAGTGCGATGTAATAACCCACCAAAGGCTAAAACTGCAATATAATGGTAGAAAGGTCGAACCCACAGGTACAGAGGCAACACACAGAGTACAAAGTGTCACATTTAACTGACTATTGAAGAGTTTGAATTCTCAGGCGACTGTCACTCCCAGAAATACTGCAAGTGTTCACTCGAAGATCACTCGGAGGTCGCACAGTGCAGCGTAGTTCACTCAACACACACACACACACCTGAAACTATAGAAACACAACTCAGAGGTCGGTTAGGACCTCCACTTAAGATTTAAGGGGGAAAGTCTCTCGCGAATACACTTAGCGGATCTGCGGGTAGTGACTCCCAACTCCGGCTTTTACAACCCTTCCACTAGTTTCTGCTAGCACAGGGAACCCGGATTGGACTTCCTACTTCGGATCGAAGTCACTCACACGCGGTGAACAACACACTCAACTCACAAAACGCGCAGAGAACATAGGTCCGGACTAAGAGACTCAACTAAGAAACGATCCAGTAGCACACCATAACAGTCTATTGAAGAGTTTGAATTCTTAGGCACTTGTCATTCCCAGAAATACTACAGGGGTTGCCCTGAAGTCACCTGCTACAGCGTAACCTGAATTTACAACCAAGGCTTACTCGAAGTAGCAAAACTTCACTTTGGCATTCAGGGGAAAAATCCCGAAGGAGTACAATCAGGAACAATCACTCGAAAGTGTAAGGGGGAAACTGTTCAAGTATCTGACTAGTAACTAGCTCTTAGCATCGGCAATCACCCGCAGGTGTAGATCCAAACTACTCAAGTCTCTAACCAGTGTACTAGCTCTGAACATTCGGCCGAAGGCCTTCAGCTACAAAATGCGGATCGCCAAGTTGTAGCTCCTCTTGCGCGATGACAGAACTAAGGACACAAACATGTAGAGAAAATGAGTTCCTGATCTGCACTTCCGAACTGGAAGAATCCCAAGGCAAGACGCCTTGAACTACTTTATACCTTCTAAGTCCTACCTAACACTACACTACACTACACGCCTACACGGAACCACGCTACGCTACACTCTGCAGATCCCGTGCTTCGGCTTCTGCGCGACGGACTGCCGCGCACTAACTCCCTACCCACCCAGTCTTCAGCTCGACTGCGCAGTCCCAGCCGCCGCAACACCGCAGTAACCTCTGTCTTGAGGGCGGCCATGGCGTCCCGCGACCTTGACAGAAACGAATCTAACTTCTTCGCCACTCGCCGCCGGCTCCGACTGTCACCTGACATCAAACCCGCCGCACGAAGCTCTAACTCGCGCAGTGTGAGTTTCTCCTGCGCCGCCACTTCCCAGTGGGTGTAACCTCTGAGACAGTGATTGACTCGCCTCGCCAACTCCTCCTTCGTGCGATCTGCCTCCCGCCAGCGATCGTCTTCAACTACTACTAACTGCAATTTTGCGTCCGCACGCTGCGCTCTCAATTCCCCGCACTCGCATTGCAGTTTGCGGATTAATTCTTCATCCGCCTGACGTGCGAGCTGACACTGCTCCAGCAACCGTGTCTGCCGCACGAGCTCCTCTAACAAAATTTGATTCTGAGTCTGCTCAGAATCGAATGAATGCTCAGCTTCGCCTTCTCCTTGGCGAACTCCTTTGTCGTCTCTCCAAGGCGCATTTGTTGGCGGCTCGCCTGAAGTCCCTTGGCCCGAAGGCCCTTGAGCTGAAGGCGCACCTTCCGGCGGACTTACCGCCGAAGGCGCGTTCCCCGCCAGCTCGCTACTCACAACTCCTTGGCCCGAAGGCCCTTGCGCCGAAGGCGGATCTTCCGCCGGCTCCTTTCCCTTCCTCCGTTGCGCCGAAGGCGCTCGGGCCGAAGGCCCCAGCCCCGAAGGCGAGTCTGCGTACGGTGCTCGTGCGGCTCTCCTATCCGTTGCCGGCACACTCATCGGTGCCGCGTGTCGTCTCTCTTGACCCGAAGGCCGTCTTGCTTCCGCCGAAGGCGTCCGTGCCTTCGGCGTAGGGAGGTCCGCTGACCCCTCTGCCGTCCGCGTGTTCCCATCCTCCTCCGAGGATGGTGTCTCCTTCGCTCTGGCGGCACGCCCTGTCTCCGCGCTACTTGCAGGCAATACGAGCCTGCGTGCTTTCTGCTTCGGCCGACTGCAAAGCTCCTTCAATGGCCGCTTCCGTTTGAGAACAGCCGAGTCTCGATGTTGACCCTTCTCTGGTTCTCCCTTCCATCTCTGCTTCCGCGGCACTCGCGCTGCGAATGTTTCCCTCCCCGCACTCTGTTGGGCTGGTGGCGTGGAGGCCGGAGTCTCTTTCGCGTCGGTGTCGACCTCGACATCCCTCACATACCTCCCGGGATTGCTAAGTGACAGCAGCGGATATTGAACACGCTCGGTCGCGGTTAAGCAATCCATCGACCGATAAAAGTTGATCAAGAAGGGGGAGAGATGATTGATCGATCCCCCCTTCTTCTCAAACGCATGCTACCGCGTTATCTTCCACAAGATACGCGACCAGTGAATCAGAGCTCCGCCCAACGCCAGCTTCACGAAAGACACTTGCCAAGAAGTGATGTATGTGGTCCTGTGCGGCTGCAAGAGTTGGAGAAGCGCTACCGCGACATTTCTGCGGTAGCGATCCTTGTAGTCCCGGGTCCTGTACACGTTCTTGCTGGACTTTGCACTATTGAACAGGATCGCGAAGGAAATCTCTTCCTCCTTCGTCACCTTGATGCTCTCACTATCAAATATGAGGTATCCGTCCTCGCCCGCACATCTTCCCAGTACCTGTGCCCAATCTTGGACGGTCCAACGCTCTACGTGCGGTCGAAACCCGCGCGTAGGTTGGTGTCTCTCCCTTTGCCATTCGCGCACCATGTCCTGGCACACGTAATTCCATCCCCACAGGAGGAAATCGAGCTTCACCGCAAACAGCTGGGTCTGGAAAGCGCGCAACCCAATCCTTCCGCCGAAGGCGTTGACCCGCAGCGCCGAAGGCGTCTCTACCGCCGAAGGCGTTGACTCCCAGCGCCGAAGGCAAACTCCTTGAAGACGTCCGTCGCCGTAGGTGCATCGCCGAAGGCGCAGCGCCAAAGGCGGCTGTGCCGAAGGCGTTGACCGTGGTCAACGGATCTTGTCTTGTCTGTCGATCCCTCTTGTTCTACAAAGGCGCTTTTGCCGCCGGAGCTCTGTTCCGCCGAAGGCGCACATGTCCGTACCGCCGAAGGCGTTGATGTGGTACCTCACTTTTGGTAATTTTGAGGAAATTAAAACATTTTTGGAAAACTGTACCCCGGCAGCAATGTAAATAGCCTTCGGTGCATCAAAACAGAGTGAATTCGGAAGATCGCAGAGATTCTCGAGGGACCTCGTCAAATCTAGGAGTTGGGTGCAGCGGTAAGGGAGGGAACCACCCTCCCTGCGAGCTCTGCAGTTAGGATCCCTACGGTGCAAGGCGCAAAACCCGCCTTCGGCGCTGTGTGAGCTTTTATCTCCCACCCTTAGCGTTGTAGTCCGGGTGAGGGTCCAAGCCTGCACATATAGCTACCTTAGCCACCACAACTCTCCATTCTCTTACCCAACCCCATGAAGCACCACTATTAAGGCTTCAAATTTTGAGAGTTCTTTTCTGAATCCACACAACCCTCACTGTTGAGGGTGCAGCTCTTCTCCTACACCTCGCCTCCACTCACACCAACTAACCAAAGTACATGAATCCCAAAACCATCAGAAAACCAACTGTAGAGAGCCGCGCTCAGTTCCTACACTATGAATCCACGACAACCCACACTGAGGCTATAGCCCCGTTCCTACTCTCTCGAAGTCGAATCTCCAAACACCAACACGAGACTGCACTATAAGCAACACGGAGCTGCCTTATAAGCAATACGGAGCCGCCTCCGAGGCACCCCGGAAATCCAGGGAGTTACAACCAAAGTAACACCTGGCACCTTATCCTATCCAACCCTATCCACATTATCGATCCAAGTCTTCGAAGTTTTGTAAGTGACCATGGTGACCCTCAAACCTTTGCTTGTCATCTGCACACCTCTTCCGCCAAGTCCTTTCGTGCCATTATCTTCACTACCTCTGGTGCAGGCCCGGAAAAGGTGTGGTAACTTGAGGAGTCAGAACTGTAAAGTCGTGCGTGCTCTTCCCGACTGGTTTCATCAATAGACCACCAACCCAGAAGTCTAGAGCCATGGTGAAGGAAGCCACAACAATCGTTAAGCCTCGAAAATACTGCCATTGGGTTGGTATGGTTGTCACCCAATCTCAGCATCAACCAAAATTGCTCAAACAATCGGATCGTGGCGAATATACAAGCCAGTACTTGCACGACGAGCAAAGGTGCAAAGATAACAGTCACTGGTAGATGTTTAGCCTTGGCTGGCGTGCCCCCAAGCCGCATATAGAGCAGAACCTGGAATACCAAGACCGGAATTTTGAGCAGATGACCGCCAATTTCCTGCCTTCCGCACATACCATCGCTTCCGTCATCCTCATCATTTGCAGAGGAACTGCCATGGGCAGCGTCATGTATAACTGACGACATAGAAATAGGCGGAGATACGGATGAATGTCCACCAGATCCGGCATGAAAGACATCATCTCTTTGTATAGTTGGGTTTGACCATTTAGTGCAGACGAGGAACGAGAAGCACTCTGCAATACCAAAGTTGATGAACAAATCCCACCATCCAAGGGCACCGTCGTCTCCGCTAAGCTTCAGGAGAGTAAACATTGTGGCTGCCAAGAAAAACACCATAGAAACAGCTACCCAAAAGTGCGGGAGTGTTTCCCATATAGCCTCATCTGTCATGCTCTCTTCATCACCAGGCATAAGGGCCCACCAAGAGACCTTCAAATAATCTTCAAGCTTCGCAATCAGCAACCCAGAGAAACATAGTAAGGAGCAATGGCCGCCCAAGGCCTGCAACAATCCGACGGTCCGGCCGCGCGTCATGGTGAGTCGCTGTGCATTATAGGATGTACTCGTTAGCATTTCCCTCAATTCTCATAGTCTTCGTCGCTCTACCACCATCCTCCTCCTTTCCACTTCTCCGCCCGCAGACAGCCAGAGCCCTCCGACACGGACGCAAACCCTAGAGCTCAGAGCCAGCGACCCCAAAATTCCTCGTCCACAACAGGAGGCAACGCCTCGACCCAAAGCCCGCCTGCCGACCAAAATCTTGTTGACGTTATCTGAAGCATGCTGCTCAATATTTCTGATCCAGTTTCGAATATTGTTGAATGAAGACTCGTCCGTCACATCGTAGACAAGCAAGATTCCCATTGCCCCTCGGTAATAAGCTGTTGTGATGGTTCGGAAACGCTCCTGACGAGCCGTGTCCCAAATCTGGAGTTTGATGCGTTTTCCATCGAGCTCAATAGTTCTGATCTTAAAGTCGATCCCTATGATTGTGATGAAACTCGTTGTGAACGAGTCATCAGAAAACCGCAGGAGCAGACAAGACTTTCCGACACCACTGTCTCCGATTAGTAACAGCTTAATGAGATAGTCATAGTCAGCCCGGGCTCTTGCTGCTCCTGCTGCCATTCCTTCTCCCTCCCCTAAACTGCACCACTACGTTCCCTCCGTGTCGATTGAAGGTGTGTTCTCCACTCTTGAGCCTTCCTCTGCAATTGATTATACCGATATCCAAGTCCTCCACGTTCGAAGCCGCAACAACCATCCGCCCTCAGTGTTACAGGATCCTCTCTCTTCCCCTCCTACCTGTCGAGCCAACCTTCCGTTTCGCGGCAACGAATCTGTTCCGTAACTCAAATCGCTGTATCTCTGCTCTACCCTAAACCGGCCAGACTCGACTTGCGTTCGTTCTCCTTCCCTCTACTCTCCTACACGAGCCCTCTCGCCTTCCTCCACCGTTTCTCCGCTGTAGAATAAAGCAAGGCCAAAATCTCGCAGCCGCACCTGAACACCTGATGTATTCTCTCCGACTGCCACCTCCTACTCTCCCCACCACTTTATTACGTCCCGCCGGAATGAACCTCTTCCAGATCAATCAATCTCGCAATCTACCTAACGTTTTCTCCTCCCTTGCAGTATTCGATCCACTTGCTACGACCAAACTCACTTCCCTCGTCCTCTCCTGCTATTATCCTCTGACTTCGTCCTCTCCCTCTTTCTTTCTCTCCCTTCTAGAAACTCTCATTCCCTTCCACCTCAAGCAAGCAGCAAACAACAATCTGCCCGATTTGACGCAATCGCCAATCCTCTCTGCCAGACTGCCTGCTTGACTCCTCTCTCTCTCTCTCTGAATCTGTCTCAGCTTCCTGATGCTGCTGCCCTTGCTTCTTCTTCCCTCAACCTCCTTCAGCTCTCCCGCGAGCTCTCCTCTCCATTCCTCTCTCACCGAGCTTCCTTTTCTCCTCACTGATCCGGAGACCCTTTGCCCTCCGCCTTTCCTCCTCGTCCTTCACCTGCGACGCCTTCCGTCCCTTGTCTTACTACCACTGCCACTATGTGAGCCAAACCTTCCCACCCTTCAGCGTTTGTAGTCCAGGTGGGGGTTCGAACTCCCATAATCTAACTTCTCTAATCACAAGCCATGTACTCACAGTGTATTCAAGACAATGAGATGATAAACACTTGCTCTTTCACAGACAAATTATCCAGACTGAAAATGATAACTTGCTGTCTGCTATTTCCACAAGAACAGCAGTCAAGCTCTTTGTTACATAAAGATCTAACCCAACTCTGGGTGACTTTCTCAATACCACAGCAGCTGTGGGCTTTTTTAGATCCCAGTCCCACTCCCGATTCCTACTCAGATTTCAGTATCGATTTCTCAGCTTCCACCTTCAGACCCCACCAGATTCCTCTCTCAGATTCAACTCTCCCTTTCCAGTTTCAAATTCAGATCCTGACTGTCAGATTTCAGTCTCAGATTTCACTTCACTCTCAGCTCCCACTCACAGGTTTTACACTTCAATCTCAGATCCCAATTTAACTTCACTCTCAGATACGACTCTCCACCCACGAGAGTCTGCTTTCTCCTACTTCAAACTCTCCACACTCCCCTCCTAATTCTCACCACTTCCTTGCGAAAAATCACTCACACCCACACTCTATTCCACGACCGATCCCACCTCCGTCTCCACACACAGGTACACCACCAGCTCTCGCACACTGGCACACTACAAGCTCTCCGTTACCAGGCCGAACTCCCCACTTCGAAGTCCAAGGCCGAGACACCCACAGCCCGCCTGAAATGCAACACTCGCAATGATGGGTAGCTGCCTACTCCCCTTGCGCGACTACATGCACCGTCGTCTTGCCTCCCCCACTTGACTTCACGCCGCTGCCGCAGCCACACCTGCACATTCTACATTCCTGACCACCCGATCTCCGCCGGAGGGAATCTTCTTTCGCACACCGCCGAAGGCATCCACCCGCCGAAGACGCACGACCACACCTTCGCTTATCCATAACAGTCACTCCCGACACCCATAACTCACAGATCCTAGCTCCGTTTCACAAGTTCATGGGCTCGTTGGAACGAGCAGGTTGAGTTCTTTCCAGCGAGACCCTAACTGGGTCAAACCGTTACGAATTGAGAAAGTTATGCCCGTTTTACCCTTCGCCGAAGGCACACCGCCGAAGGCCTGTTACCTGTTATCGCCGAAGGCGCCGGCACGATGTTCGCCGGTTCAATGTCTTCCGGTTGGATGTTGTCCTACCCTATCCGCCGCTTTCGACGCTCATAACTCAGTGACGCCTTATCCGTTTGAAGAGTTCTTGGTTTCGTTTGAACGAGCGTCGCGAGTTCTTTCCAACGAGAACCTAATCAAGTCAAACCGTTAACAAATGAAAAAGATATGCCGAGTTTACTGTTTCGCCGATGGCCCTTGCACGATGTTCACCGGCTCGGAGTTTGCCGACCCCGAGTTCGCCGATTCCGAGTTCGCCGAAGGCCTGCTCGCAGTTGTCGCAAAGTCCTCCGAAGCCGGAGATGTTCGCAGCCGGAGACGTCCGGAGCCGAAGACGTTCGCAGCCGGAGACGTCCGGAGCTGAAGACGTCCTGAGCCTAAGGCGTTCGCAGCTGGGCTTGCCTCAACCCTTCCCATCAGTAACTTCCGACACTCACAACTCAGTGATTCCTCATCCGTTTGAAGAGTTCTTGGTCTCGTTGGAACGAGCGTTGCGAGCTCTTTCCAAGGAATTACTAACTGAGTCAAGGCGTCACACATTGAAAACGTTATGAGGGTTTCACTGTTTCGCCGAAGGCCTTTTTCCGAAGGAACTTCACCGAAGGCTCTTCGCCGGAGACCCTGCCCTGAAAGCCCCGTTCCGGACCTTTGCCTACTAGCTATTACACCAACTCCTAATCTTACCAAAACTTCCAGAAAACTCCGAGCATAATTTTGCAAGAGCTTAAATCTAAAACTTTAACTCTCACAAGGTTAAAAAGACATGTGAGCACAGTTTTGTGCTCACACACTACTCTATCTCCCTCGCGATACACCACCAACACACCGGCACCACCTTTCTTCCGTTAATCATTTTCGTCCGCCATTCAACAAGCAACATCTTCTCCGGCTTCTACTTTCCTTGTTCACCGCGAAACCCTCATCTTTCTCGTCGCCGAGCACAACAGACCCACAAACACACCCGCACACGTCTGTCTCTCTCGTCTCTTTCTTCCTCCCTCGAGCCTTCTCCCTCTGTCAATCTTGAAACGGTAGTCCAAAGGCAACGAGACCACCGCTGGACATAAACGCGCCCACAAACTCGTGTCCACACCACACAAAAGCTCCACCGCTTGTTCAATCAATCTCAACTCGCTCTCCGCTCCGTACAACCATCACCACCCACAACAGCAGAACTTCTCCTACCGTCTAAGCTCTGTAATCCCTGTTACTCTGCCCAAACAGGAAAATTGTCACCAATTTTACCCCGTATTTCGATACTTCTCATAGCCTTCTTCCTAATATCTGCCTTCAAGTCTTTAATAGAGTTCTCGAGCGTGCTTTGATCTGCCATGGAGTAATGAAGCTTCTCCTCCATCACATGATAAGCTTCGACCATCCTCTCGTGCTCAGCTCCCTCATCGAAGATAACTTCAGCCTTCAATTCTATTTCGTGCAAAACCCGTTCTAGAAGCGCCTGGGAGTGCTTTCGTTCGTGTCTCTCGTGCCGCCATGCATCCACCGCTTCTTGATATTTCGTGTACATTGTTGACAGACTCCAGCCATCTCGTAGAAGAGCTGCAGCAAGAGCTGTTCCCGAAACCTTCTTTCCAATTGAAGGAAGCATGGCTCCATCCCCATGGAGCTCCAAGGCAAGCTGCTTATCCATTGACCCTGTCATCATTTTCATAGGAAGGACCGGAAGCGCGAGATCCCCATCCCTGACGGCATTTGTATTACCATCGGCAAGGGCTTTTTCTAGCTTCTCTTTCAACTCAGATGAATCCTTAACAGCCGCTTCACGAGCTTGGATTTCTTTGTCGAGTTTTTCCCGATATTCAGCTTCCACCTGGTTCAAATGAGTCTCAAGGGCTTTAATAACACCCTCAAGTTCGTTGGACTTCCTCGACCACTCATCAGAGCTCTGCTTGTATAAATCGGCAATGCTTGTAATTTTGGTTGACAGATAGTTTTTTTGAAGAATGGCTTGCTCCTTCGTATATCGTAATTCCTCTCTCGTTTGTGTGAGCTTCGCTTCGAGGTCCCTGATACGCTCATTGCTCCTCTGAACTGACTCTTTGGCTTCCTTGTAAAGCCTCTCTGCTTGTAAAAGCTTGGACTGCAAATCAGCCTCTAGATCAGCACTAGTACGACGCTCCTCCATAAGTCCCTTTACTTTGCCATTCAACTCCTCATTGAGCCAAACATTGTGTTGTTCCAAAAGCTCCCTCCTAGACTTTCGTGCTTCACTAAGCTCAAAGGACACTCGCTCCATGTCACTCTCATGCTTGATGGCATCCAGCTCAAGTTTGTGGGCCTGACTCTGTGCTTGAGCAAGCTCGCCTGAACGACGCTCCAGAGTGGCGGCACTTTGCTGTTTTTCATTCTCCAGCTGAGCGAATTGAGCAGTGAGGGATAAAAACTTCTGCTCGATGAGGACGCACGTCTGCTCGGCATTGATGACAGCAGCATCGGCTTGTGCTTTGTGAATCTCTAGCTGCTGTCTCAGCTTGTAGACATAGGCCACTACCTCATCTCCACCTCTTCGCTGCAACTCATCATCGGAAAGAAAAGCCGCCATATTCGCTGCTCTTCTTGCTACTCCGGAAAGCGATTCAACATTCTCCCTTCTGTTCCCGCCACGAACTCACACTTGAATCTTACTGCCCTCCAAACCATCGCTCTCGAAAACTGCAGGTAACCCGCGATGCACCATTCCTAAAACCTTCACAATACCCTCGTCCGTCTGCAATCACTCAACGGTGTTCCGACCATTCACAAAACTTGCAGAAAAAACCTCAGCTTGCCCAGCTCATTTTACAAATGCAAATGCAAAAACTCGAGGTGCAAGTCGGCTTCTCGACGCCACACGCTAAACCTCTAAAATCTCTAGCCTTGCTAAAACTGAAGCCTTTGGCGTCTCCGACCTATCCTCGGATTCAGCGACTCGACCTGAACAAGGTTTGCTGATTAGAGTCGGCCCCGATCAGTGCAATTGCAGATCTTGGTGGTGGATCTCCTCGGAGCCCATGCTCGTGGAAGTGCAACCTTCCTCAACCCCGTCCTTTGGCGCGCCACCTTTGCCAGGCCCGTTCTTGATACTTAACAGATACATTCAATAAATAATCTACGTCTACTTACGTTACTAACTACTACTAACCTACTACTACTCTATTAAATAAATTTTTCTTTTCTTTTCTTTGTCTGAAGTACCTAATATATCATACTAACTAATGCTAATTATTTAATTGAGTTCATAATTGAACTCACACGCTGCGTCCGCGGCGGTAGGGAAATCCTTCATATTTAGGTCAACCCCCAAACGTCTTGACTTAGTTAGGGTCTCGTTGGAAAGATCTCGATGCGCTGATTCCAACGAGCCCAAGAACGCCAACAACGGATGAGGACTCCGGGAGTTATGAAGGTTGTAAGATACTCAGCTCTTCGCCTATGCACAGGCAGAGAAGTTTTGTCCTATGCGCGGACGAAGGAAGTTCGCCTGCGCACAGGCGAAATAGGGTTTTGAGGTAGGCGCGAAGTTTGCCTACGCACAGGCGTGCGCCTGTGCACAGGCGCTTCGGCGTCGGCGGGAAATCCGCCTTGGGCCCTAGAAATGCGCCTTGTGAGGTAGAAATTGTACGGCGCCTTCTGCGCTAGCGCAACGCCGCGGACGAGCAAGGAGCCGCCAAAATAGTAAAATCCGTACGGACCGTACGGACGGGACGGATGGTTACGCTCTGGAACGGACGGAGTTGCGGCGACGAGAGCGCCGATGGAGAGGCAAGGAACGGACAGTCTGGACGGAGGCGGTTGACCGCGGTCAACGCCTTCTGCGCCAGCGCATCGGCGCGGACAGACTTCGCCTGCGCACAGGCGAGCGCCTGTGCACAGGAGGGTGAAGTTCCGCGCCGGCGGAGAATTCGCCGTGGAGTCCGCCTGCGCGCAGGCGGGAGTTGAACTTTTGTCCGACATGCGGACACACGCGCCGAGGCAGAAGAGGATTGGCTGAGGAGCGGTACGAACGAGTGTACCGCGCAAGGCGGAAAATCCGCCTTCGGCGCTGCGCACCCATGTCCGCGGCGTAGTACGCTCGCGGAGTTCAAATTCGCCAATTCGAGCGTGAGAGTTTAATCGGCGACGGCGGAGCGTGAAGCCGCGTGTGAGAGCGGAGACCGTTTCAGCGTAGAGCCGGCGCGGCCATCAATTGAGTCGTCCTTCACGAGCAAGAGCCGACCATGACCTTCGACCGGGAGGCGGAGAGCGTCCCATTCTTGAATTCGCGATTCCATTCTCTAGTGCGAGCTGCGCGCGTCCATCTGCTGGCTGCTAAGCATTCTCGACATCGCCGCGCAGAGGATTTCTTGGTGATTGAGGGAGAAGTGAGTGCGCGTGATTTGGAATTGAGGGCGATTAGAGTTTACTGAGGAAGAAAGGAGCTCGAGCGGAGCGGAAGGAGAATGAGCGAGCGGGCGAACTCCAAAAACGCAATGACGAGACTGGGTCGATTGCGGATGCTGCCGCTCCGACTACCACAGAACGGGCTGCGCGCTTTCGAGGAGCGCCTGATAGCAAGAAAGCTCAATTTCTTGCTATGGGGGTGGAACTACATCTGTGTGGATATGGTGCGCGAGTGGCTAGAGCCACAGGGACCACCTTCGCGCGGATTGCGTCCGCATGTTGATCGGTGGACGGTCCAAGATTGGGCGCAGGCATTGGGGAGATGTGCCGGCATGCCAGGGCACCTCCTCTTCGATAGTGAGAGCGTCAAGGTGACCAAGCAGGAAGAGGCGCAATTTGTGGAGCTGTTCAAGAAGGGGAAGTCTACCAAGAATGGGTACAAGACCCGCGATTACAAGGATCGATTCCGCCGGACTTTGTCTACGGCGCTGCTGCAATTACTGCAGCCACACCGCGCGTGTTACATCACATTGTGGCAGGTCTCTTTTGTGGAGTGCATCATCGAGGGAACTCCAATTCACTGGGCGAGCATCCTGCACCGGGTGATGCGACAGCACGCTTTTGAGGAGAAGGGGGGAACTCTAAATCATTTCTCTCCTTTCCTCATCAATTTTTATCGACAGCGAAATTGTTTGACAGCGGCGGAGCTTGCGCGTTTTCCGCCGTTGTCCGTCGACCATCCCGGGAGGTATGTGCGGGAGAATGAGGTCGACACTGATGCAGAGGAGTCACCGACTTCTACTCCGTCAAGGCGGAGGGACGAAGGGAGGAATACTCCTGCAGCACGAGCGCCGCGGAAGCGGCGATGGAGAGAGGAGTCCGAAGAAGAGCAGCATCAAGAACCCTCTACTCCCATTCGACCGCGGCCGTTGTACGAATCGTACAGCGGGCCGAAGCAGAAGGCGCGCAGGCTGGTGTTACCAGCCAACAGCGCGGACACGGCGACGATTGCCACAGAGAAAGGAAGTGCGTCGCCGGAGAAGAATGAGGGAGCGCGGACGTCCGCAGGAGCAACGGACCGCGCTGCACCCTCGACGGACGAGAGGCCACCTACGGGCCAAGGGCCTCCGGAGTTACCACGTGCGTTGCGGACAGGTGTTCCGCTTGCGCACAGGCGAGCCTCCACGGACGGACGAGCCTCCACGGACAGACGACCACAAGCGGACGTGGACCTACGCCTACGCGTGGGAAGAAGCAGTCCGCCTGTGCACAGGTCACCTTCACACGTGCCGCCTGTGCAGAGGAGATGCGAGCAGGGAGCGTGCGGAGGCCGCACCATCGGCGGGTAATCCGCCGGTAGATGCGCCTTCGGCGGTAGGGCCTCAGGGCCAAGAGACATCGGGCGAGCGGCCCCCGGCTATGTCGCCTTTGGCGATAGACGTCCGCGGCGCTGCGCTTGCGGCGGACAAGGCGCCGGCATTTGTGCCTGCGCACAGGCCAGGCACAGCCCCCGCGGACCGAGCGAGGGAGCAGCAACGGACGGAGGAGCGGATTGACTGTCCACGGGACAAAATTTTGGTGCGCGATGCGCAATCAAACCCCGCGTAGACACCCTCCGCTCTATCGCCTTCTGCGGCGGACGTTGGCGGAAGAGAGGACGCGATTGAAGACCGACAAGCGGGCGACGGGGATGTAGCACGGGCACATTCGCCCACCGCCTTAGACATTTTGGCAAAGAGCAGCGAGGCTGCAGCGGTGCCTTTGCAGGCAGCACACGTCGACGACGTGCAGCCCCACTCGGGTCAGTCGCCGACGCAATCAATGGCGACTGAAATTCTCCACTCGGATGATGACGACGGAGGCTCCACCGAAGAAATGTCGGGAGCGGGGGATACCGAGGAGGAGGAGGAGGAAATTGTTGGAGCGCCGCCGGCGGCGCTCTCTGAGCAGGTGATTCCGTTGCTGAGGTACTTGGATCGCAAAATCGATAAATACGCCGATCCACTTCAGCCGGGATCTTACATCGAATTAGTGCGCAGGCGGACTCGCACTAAAGTCCACACCAGCAAGCTACTAGCTAGGGTGGACCAGGAGTTGAGGGAATTGAAGGAGAGGCATGCCTGTTTATGGGGGCAATACAACCTTGAGAGGAAAGCGCACGCCCTCGACAGGATGCGGAAGGATAGAGTGGAAGAACTCACTAGGGTTGTGCTGCAGACCACGCAGGATTTGATGTCTGAGAAAACTTAGAATCAGATTCTGTCAGAAGAGCTCGTGCGACAGACGCGTTTGTTGGCGGAGTGTCAGCTCGCACGGCAGGCGGATGAGGATTTAATCCGCAGGCTACAGTTAGAGTGTGGTGAATTGAGAGCGCAGCGTGCGGAGGCCGAATCGCAGTTAGTGGTAATTGAAGAGGATCGCAGGCAAGAGGCAGATCGCACGAAGGAGGAGACGGCGAGGCGTGTCGCCCACTCTCTCAAGGGCTACGCCCACAGGGAAGTGGCGGCGCAGGAGAAACTCACACTACGTGAGTTTGAACTTCGCGCAGCCGGGTTGTTGACAGGCGACAGCAGGAGTCGGCGGAAGGTAGCGAAGAAGCTCGACGCCTTTCTGTCGAAGGCGCGGGATACCATGTCCACCCTCGAGGTGGAGGTGTCCGTGGCGTTGCAGCGGTTGGGACAGCGCAGTCGAGCGGAAGACTGGCAGGGTAGGGAGTTAGTGCGCAGCAATCCGTCGCGCAGGAGACGTAGCACTGGTTCCGCGGAGTGTAGTGTAGCGTGGTTCCGTGCCGGCGTGTAGCGTAGTGCTAGTTAGGACTTAGAAGGTATAAAATAGTTCAAGGCGTTTTGCCTGGGGTTCTTTCCTCAAACTCAGAAGTGCAGATCAGGAACCCATTTCCTCTGCGTGTTTGTGTCCTTGAGTTCTGTCACCACGCACGAGGAGTTACAACTTAGCGTTCCGCATTTTGTAGCTGAAGGCCTTCAGCCGACTGTTTAGAGCTAGTACATTGGTTAGAGACTTGAGTAGTTCGGATCTGCACCTGCGGGTGACTGCCGATGCTAAGAGCCGGTGACTAGTTAGATACTTGAACAGTTTCGCCCTTACACCTTCGAGTGTTTCTTTCTGATTGTACTCCTTCGGGATTTTTCCCCTGAATGCCAAAGTGAAGTTTTGCTACTTCGT